GTGTGTATTTTTTCGGTTTCTAAAATATTAATTAGTTATATAATCACACGTATAGAATGAAAGAGTAGTCAATTACTGCAAGATGTCGATGTTTCCTCAGTTATAAAATTTGATAGTAATTTCTATTATAAAATTTTTAAAATTCTCTCTCCATGTATAATTGCATAATGAAATAAGTATCAACTTTTTCTCAAATAAACGTTACGCGCTAATAACGTGCCATATATATATCGTCTCACTACTATTTTTTTTTTATTAAAATAAAATAAGAAAAAATTGGTGAGACACCGAAAATAACCATATAAAAGATTTTCTTTCTCACATTGAACAAACAAATTAATAAATAAATTTGGAATCAATAAATGAGATTAATATGCTTTTTTCTCTCCCGGTATACTGAGCCCGGAAAAACGATCGCTCGACGAAAGGTCTCGATGACCGAGATATGAAATATCCGATTTGATGAATTTTCGCTGTCATAATTGCATCAACAGCGCGGACGCGGATTATCATCAATTGATGTTTAATCAAATTGATGTTCACGTCTCTATCAAGTGCGTCAAAAGAGAAAATTCCGTGAGTCTCGCGCAGATTCAGTCTGCGAAAATTACCGCGGCGCGCAGAAGGAGACGACGTCGTGAAAGATGACGATGCAAGGATGGCACATTAATTGTAATAACGAGGGTGACGGTAAATCGTTGCGCGATGCAACCGGCGACGCAAATCGACGACTTTATCATTGTCATCTCCGTTCGCGATATATACCGCGCGTCCCGTAGAGGAGAGAAGAATGTCCTTTCTCCAAGAGAGGTTCTGCGGAGATTTACGCCGACCTCCTCCTGCGCGCCGCGCGCCACACGGATCGCAGTGACAAGGCTTCGCCCCGGGGTTATAAATAATCGGCACTTAAACAGTAATAACGTTTCGGACGCGTGCGCTCGTTGCGCCAAGTGTTTCCTAACGAAAATAATTCCGGTCATCGTTGAGAGCCCGCGAAGCAAGGATGACGACACGCCGAACGATCATGATGCGCCCCCGGTCAGCGCCTCTAATTATAACCGCATTCATAATTCCAAGCGAACGTGTCCGCAAAAGGACACGCGCGCACGCACGCACATACACACACACACATACAATACGTATATATTGGACAGCGTATCCGGCAAGAGAGAGTTCAGTTCTGCGATTCTATTATTCATGCATTTCCTCTTCAAATTTTACTCATGTCGCCGTCGTTTACAAGATTCAACCTGCCAATTATTTTTGACAGATCTCGGTCGCTTTAGTGTCTCATCGAGTATTTGCCGAAATTTCCCGCGCGCAAGAGACAAATTAACTTATCTCATTGAAGAAGAGAGAGAGGGAAAATTCTTGACGAAATTTTTATTCTAACGCTTGGCCGAGCAGTAATTCCATACGTTGAGAGCGAGAAATCATCGATCTCATTGAGATTATAGTCATTTCCTACGCCTAACATACCTCTTTGCTCTCTTAACGAAAAGATAATAATAGCAATAAGATCGTTACACGTGCACGTAAAAAAGACAAATTGCCTGACTCATTGATACGTTGAGGGGAAAGTTTGGTATTTCTGACTGAAATTACAAAATTATTATTGAAACAATTAGAGTCAGAAAAGTCATTTTTGCAATAAATGCTGCTACAGTGTTAACGATACCTCGTATGTGATTGAACTCTGTGCATTTTTTTTTTGTTGCTGAGGGATACAGTAAATTTTGTTAA